ATACATTATAATCTCCAGCTTTAGGGCATAGCTGTTCTTGATGTCTATTTTATAATGACATATTCTTGATAAAGAGTATCACCCATTCCCCAGAATTTGTTGAGCTAGGAACCTTGCCGGGCTTTGGGACTCCAAAATGAACACGATACAGTTCTTTCTGGTCGCACAATTTTTAAAAGTCTTTTAATTCTTCACCACAAATGAACGCAAACACATCCCTGGGATGTGGCATGTTCTACAGTGGAGTGTAAGTGTGTTTATTTGCTTAGTATTTTCTGCCACAGATTGGAAGAATTTAGATGACATTTGGCAAATGCTTTTGGAGAAGCTGATGAATAAAACTGATGGCTTTGTTTTAATGCGTTTGGCGTGTGGGAAGTTGTAGGAGGCTGCGCAGTAGCTCTTTGGTTTGGCTCTCAGTTCAAGGTTAACCTCGAAGAGCATGAGCTTGTAGGCATAGAGTGAAAAATTTAAGAGCACAGACTCTGGAGTCTGTTTTGGAGTGCCGACTTGGCTTTCCAACATGCGGTCTGTATGACCTTGGGCAAGCTACCTAACGGCTCTGTGCCTCAGTTTCCTCCACTGTTTTCTCATTTGTTATGAGAATGAGTGAGATTGTCTATCCGACGGGCTTGTTACAGTGCCTGACACATAGCAAACACTAAACGTCAACGTGGATGAGAGCAGTTCTTGTGCGTCTCTGCCCTTCTGTGTGTTGTGAGGCAGGCGTGTGAGTGGTTGTCACAGTGCACGCAGTCTTCCTCCACACCTCAGGCCCCCCACCCGCCCCTTGATGGGACTGGTTGGTGTCACTATGCAGACAGGCTCCATGGACGCATGGCTGGCACTCTCTCCGATGCTGAGCTGGAGGTACTTCCGAGGCAGTCAGTGGTCCAGGCTGTCCTTGCTTCACCTGCGAGGGCCAAGCAATGGCAAAGAGGAAGCAGAAGAAGGCGTAGACTGACTGAGCACCTACTGTGTGCCAGATGCACTGCCAGACATTTTTTTCTTGGACGACGTGTGGTCACTCTCAGAGTTACTGTTTCAAGTTTACACGTCAGAGGTTCAGGCTCAGAGTAGTTAAATAGCTTGCACAAGGCCCTATGACTAGTAAGTGACAGGGCTGGGATCTGAGCTCAGGTCTGTAGAACTCCGTAGTCCATGCTTGAATTACCAAGACTGGGAAGACTGCAACACACGCACACATTGTACACATGCAGTCTCTGCACACATGGTCTGCCTGTGCAGTCTCTGCACATGCACTCTGCACACACAGTCTGCACAGTGTACACCCAGTCTCTGTACACAGCCACTGCACACTCAGTCTCTGCACACATAATTTGCACATGCAGTCTCTGCACATATACTGTACACATACTCTGCACACGTCCCTGCACATATTCTCTGCACTCAGCCTGCAAGCCAGACTGGGTTTGGACTGGATCTGAAGACCAGTGCGAAGCCATGTCAGACCCTCGGCTGGAGCTTCCCTTCCCTTTGCCATCCTCCCTCTCCCCTCCTCTTTACTGCCTTTCTTAATGTGCTACCCACACTGAGACTTGTATTTGTCAAGGGAACAAGTGAAGGAACGGTTGCTGAGCCCAGAGACAGCAGTGATGATTAAGCCGCACAGGTTCGGGAAGCACAGTTGTGCCCCAGCCTCGCTGTGCACTTTCGGATCCGGTTGCTGGGCAGGTAGGCGAGGAGATCTGATTTCAGGAGCCAGTGAGCAAAGTTTCTTTGTGATGCTTTGTGGAGAAACATTTTTTAAATAGGCTGAATATTTGGGTTATGAGGACATCTGCAGCTCTTTGAGCTGGTTGTCCACAAGGAGGTTCTGTAAGTCAGTGCTGCCCCTTCAGCCCTATTTTCACCCCATTTTTTAATTGATGGTTTTCAGTTTGAGGTGCCTTTAATGGCAGAATGATCAGGTGGCAAATGACAAGAAGCCAGGGTTGATAATGAACACAGTGAACATAGTTTATCAGCAGCAGTTGAAGAAATAAGTTTAGTTGACATTAATCACCTTGACTCAGTGGCATGCAAGTGAGCGTGCCCGTGCGTGACATCACCGGAAGCTCAGAGGAGGCTCGAACCAGGGGGGCGATGGCTCTGCTTTCCTCTGCACTTCCTGCTGGAGCACAGGACATGAGTCCATTCTCAGGACTGTATCTGACTTCTGAGGCCCACAACTGCTGCATTCAGAGGAGAGTAAAGACCTCTTGAGGGGACTTAGGATGTTTAGGTTAGAGGAGAGAGAAGCTTCAGATGGGGGGACACAGTAGCAGAGGAAAAAAGGGTTGCTGTGTGAGTGGAGGCTGATGTGGAGGAGGCGGAGCCCCTCCATGGGGACACAGCAGGTGAGTGTCTCCCCGGCCCTAGTCTTCAGGCTGCAGGGCGGAGATGCTTGCTGCTTACTCTGCAGTCACTCAGCCTGTGCCAGGCAGGTAGACAGGCCACAGAAGCAGGAGTGGCCGAGCTTGGAAATGTGCTCAGTAGATGCAGTTTGTGGAGCTAGAAGAGTGGGAACTAAATGTTTGGTTAGGTTGAAGTGTGAGCCTGGCAGCAGGGGGATTAGAGAGAGTGAGGAGGCCGGTGAGAATGCGACAGGCTTTTACTGGTCTTGAGGTGGACAGGCCCTAGACACCTTAAGTGGAAGTCACCTTGAGCATGGCCATGGGTTGCTGAGCACCAGGTGGCGTGGCTCAGCTTTTAAAAGTCAGTCATGAGCTCCCTTGTTCTGTCATCAATACTAACAGTGTAAGACTTGAATTTCTGAATTTCTTAAAAGGGGATGGGGCTTAATAGTAGGAAGGAGCAAACTTTTCAGGTTGTTAGGAAGGTAGTTGCGAATATCAAAAATCAGACCACCAAGCTCATCCCATCGAGTGTTACCGCCCTGTCCCCTTGGTTTAACCACTACTGTCTGCAGTCAGGACTCTGAAGCTGGCGTAGGAGGAGTGAGACTAGAAAAACCAGTCTCCCTCTTCGTGCACAAGTTTCTCTCTCTCTTAAAAACACATGTTGAGTTCTGAAACTGCAGTCCAGGAAGGCCGACGTTGGTTCTCAGCAGGTTACTTAGCTACTAATTGCAGTCTTTCTTGGATCAGGATCGCCTATGTCTTTTTTCCAGTAAGGTTTCCAGACTGATGGGATAGAGCACTTCATATATTCAGCTCACATATACATATTACTATTTATACACATGCACACACATATATAATGACATGCATACATTCAGCTAGCAGACACAGCATGCTTTAGGGCGGCTCCATGCAGAGCAAGTAGGACCTGAATCCAGATTAAAACCTCTTGGGCCCAGCACGTTTGAGTAGAAGTTCGGCTGATGAGAAAGACCTTCCAGGCAGAGAGAAGGGCAGGTGCTGAAGTGCAGAAACAGGAGAGGCAGCTTGGTGAGCGGGGCTTGTGGGAGGGTGTGGGCGAGAAGCGGTCGCTGCCAGCTCCCTTGGCAGACATTTAGCAAGTTGAGTGGACAGGCCCCACTGACCAGTTTAATTTGTGGGGTGAGAAAGAGGGAAGGGAGAGTCTTAAATGAGAGATTTTCTCACTTGGGGAATCGAGAGAGCGCTCTCCCTCTCTTAGGGGACAGGAGGGACTGAGAGGAAGCCAGGAGGGTTGAGAGGGAGTGGTCAGATAATTAGCACTTGGGGACTTGTTGCTTTTGAGGCCCCAGGGGAACCTGCAGGGGACGGTGATACCCACTCACCTGGACCAGGAGGGCGAGGCAGGGCTGGGGGCACATTTTCTGCAGATAGTAAACAAAGCTGTGGATGGGGCGTGTGGAGTAAGCAGGAAGGTGTGGGGGCTGAACCTAAGTTTCAGAGGCATGGGAAAGCAGAGGAGGCGGTGAGGGTGAAGAAAGGTGGTCAGGGGGTGAGAAAATGACCTGGAGGAAGGGGTCCTGGGAGCCAAGGAGGACAGTTCTTCGGGGGAAAGAGGACAGTCTGAGCTTGTGTAAGGACTGGGAGGGAGTGGCTGGGTTCCCACCAGGGCTGTCACCCCCTTCAAGGCCCGCACTCATGGAAGGGTGGCGTTGTGTAGCAGGAACCATGGGGGAAGGAAGGAGAGGCTCGTGGTGCTGCTCACTGAATGATTATTGGAGTGAGGAGCTAGCAAGGCTGGAGCAGCTCACCTGTGTGACCCTGAACAGGCTCACTGCCGTCACCCCAAGCAGCGGTGGAACATCCGGCCATGCCAGGCTCTTTTGTGGGCAACTTGTCACTGGGGAGCTTCTCTAACACAGGGACAAGACTCTGACACCCCTACTGTGGCGTCCACAGGTCGCCATGCTCCGGAGGTGCGTTGGTCTGAACTTCTCACTGGAATTGGTGTCAATGCATTTTTCAGTGATGACTGAAGGGAGTGGATTCAGGATTTAGTTAGTGGGCCTCCCAATTAAACTGGGGAACATGATCCTTGTGAAAAATCATTTTGGCTTATCAGCAGTTGGCAAACATTTATACAGCAGAGCTGGTTCTGGCTGTGCCTTTGGCTGCTTACTCAACTGAACAGCAAGCTGTGTCCACTGGTGGAATGAAAAAAATGATGTTGTGTTACAGGGAACTTTTTACAATATGCCAGAGGGACCTACTGGAGTCTCTTTAATCTTGAACAATGGCTGTTTCTTGCTGAGGCAAATTATGCAAATCGGTACTTAGTGTTTTGTAATCAATCAGGTCTTTGTTGGGAGCCTAGTGAGTGCCAGCAGAACAGAATTCCTCTCATCCTGGGGGGGGCCGGCCAGTCAGACGCTGCTGTGATCAGCCGAGGACACTTGTGACTGCTTTGAACTCTCCCTGCAGCTGAAATACCTCGTCCTTAGAGAAGAACCCGACCGTTTTGTACCAGGGTTTTTGTTTTACAGTTTATCTTCCTTTGGGTAATTTACAAAACGCCCACGAAGGAGCAGCTAGCGGGACTGTTCTGTGGGTGACACATAAAACAAAGCCGGGCCGCGCCTGGGATGACAGATGGCAGCCGTGGCCCTGAGCTCCCGTTGTGCCGAGCCTTCTCGGGCTCATCCAAGTGCACATGTGCTTTAAAACAATGTCACTTCAGCTTCGGCCTGCGCACAGCAATTAACCTTTAATAGTCCTTTGATTCTAGATCAAAAACAAAGAACCAGAGAACTTGAAAAGCCCTTGGGAAAAAATTGTGATATTTTTGAGTTCCGTTATTGCTGCTGCTGTAATGCTTGTGCTGCCATCTAGTGGGCAGTGTGAAGTACTCAGCAGGCTTGCGGGGCTTGGAGTCTCTTCCCGGTGGCTAATTCCTTCCCTACTATTAATTTCCAAAGGGCACCGAAGAGCCGTTCGGTTCTGAGCGTTAAATCGTTATTGAGAAGCCACTTCGGGATAGGTTTGTGAGCAGCTTATGTGACATTTCAGAACCAGGTGTGACATGCAAAGGGGTCCTCAGCCTGGCCTGGAACTGGCAGAGAAGGTGTGACCTGAGCGGTCTTGTGAACGGTGAGTCGGCACCAGCACTGGGCGGTGGGGAGGGCTCTGAGTCTGGGACTCAGCTGGAGGGGCACCCAGAGGGCCTGGGGGGGAAGGAGTGGGACTCGATCCTGTGGATCAGTGTACACTTTAGGGAAGTACTTGGGAAGATGTACCTTTTCATTTAAAAAAGTTTTCTGTCTGATTGCAAAGATTGTACACGCTAATCATAAAAAATTTTGAAGTACAGAGAGGTATTAGAGTAAAGCAAAGTCTCGTAATGTTGCCACCAGACGACCATCAGTGTTCCGATGAGCAGCCTTTCAGTCTCCTCTCTGTGCGTGTAAACTGCATCGGTGCACATTTCATGTACCTTATGAAAATGGATCATACAGCACGTGCTTTGGGCAACTGTGGTGTC